TTAAATGAAAAACTTAGGCAAATCAGTAGGAAATTGAGCCAACTTTAACTAGATTTCGATTTGTTTTATTCAAAGATCCTTTTACTTCTACTTTAAAATATAAACAAAATATAGGTAAATTTTACATATGTCATTACCAATGTTAGATTCAAACTCATTCAAATAAATATGCATTGGGCCAGAGTCATTCAGACTTATTACTAGGCCCAAACCTCTAAATCAAATGTGTTTAACTGATTAGATGCTTAATTGGGTCAGAGTCCAATTGGACTCAAACAGGCCCAAATTCTTTTCCAATTAATTTAGAAGTATGGTCCAAACAATGGACAATATACTCATGGGCCAAAGTCTATTTGGACTCAGTCCTTATCAGGCCTCAAACTTCTAAAAAATCTGGGCCTGATAGGCAGTTTGTAGATAAGCTGCCCTATTAGATACAAACAAATATGTAACATTAGTGTTAAACCTTTACACCTAGATATACGACATAGTATTAGAAACGTAGGCATGACTTTAGGTACTCATAATTAAATTAATTATTATAATTATGTAAACGCATGCGTGACATCATTGTGATACCAAAATAAACTAAGGTACATGTTCGCGTGACCATGGTCAAACACTCTTAGTAAATAAAATGCCTTAATCAAATACTCGTAGAAATGATTTTAGGCACGGATTTTAAACTACTATCGTGGTTGCGTACATGTTAGCATGACGTGATCTCGATTTTCAAATAAATCCAAGGTACGCGTTCGCGCGACTTTGACTATTTTTCTTAAATAAACCAAATATCGTGAGTTGTATACACATACACGTGACATGATTTTTGACACACCAAACTAAACGGGTATACGTACGTGTAACTCGAATTAAGGTAATCCTTTAGATAAATCAAGTAATTAAAAGCGCTAAAGGATAAATACTCATAAGTCCTAAAATGAGTAATTAGATCAAATAAGCCAAGTATGAATCATTAAGAGACCGTGCTAGAATCACGGAATTCGGAAGTGCCTAACACCTTCTCCCGGATTAACAGAATTCCTTACTCAGTCTTCTGGTTCGCATACTTTTAACGGAGTCAAATTTTCTCGATTTGGGATTTTAAAAATAAATGGTGACTCGGAACACCGTAAATAAATAATTCCGAGTGGCGACTCTGATATTAATTAAATAATCCCAATTCGAATAATGTCACTTAAATTGGAAAAACTCCCTTATACCCTTCTCGGAAAAAAAGAGGTGTGACAGCTCTGGCGACTCTGTTGGGGATCAGAGAACCTAGAATCTTTGGTCCAGGGTTCAGAATTCGAGCTTGTTAATGTGATCTATACTTGGCTTTATTGATTATTGATATTACTGTATTTTGTGGGCCTAATGTGCTAATTACCGCTCGTTTACCGCTTTTATATTATTTGAACTATATTAAACTGTCTTCTTACGCCTCCCTTATGAGTCTTCTAAAAATATGATGCACACGTACGCGTGGCGCACTTTTCTGTTAGAGGTCATATCAAATAGAACGAGGATGGATCAGCCACTAGACCGGGTAGACTTTCGTGCTCTCGGTACGTCGCTCCCACCTCGACTCAAGCTGTCTGCTTGGGTAAGCCATGTCTAGAACACACCCCCAGGTTTAAACCTAGAATAACATAGCCTCACGCCGAATCCCTAGTAGGTACGTTTGCTTGCATCACGTGCATTGGACTTAGGGGACTCAGCATAGGGGTTGAGCCCGTCTAGGACAGGTGTACCCAAAATAAAAGACCATTCTGATGCGTCTTACCTGCTATGTGTGCATTTATTTATTTCGATTTTTTTGTTGACCGGCTAAGGAAAGAAAATCAATAGAAAAACCAAGAGTGAGGTAGGATAGAAAATTCACCCGGTTCTGAAAACCCCAGTATTTGAAAATGCCTCGAAACTCTGCCAAAAGTTTTGAAACAAATGATGAGAAAAAGAAAATGCATTTCAAAAATGAAAGTAAGTCAATATCATGCTTTTCCAATGATGTCAAAACTGACTGAACTACGCGGGTCTGATTCTCACCGGATGTGAAATACGTAGGCAAACCTCATCGGTGCCAACCCCAATTTTCCAATCAAATAAATAAAGTATGTCCATTGATCAAGAAACCGATCCAGCTTCGGTTAAGTCCGGCGCCGTTTTTTCCAGAAAAGTGCCTTACTTCGGCCTCAAAACTTTATTCAAAAGCAAGAAGGGGCCACCATTGCAAAATGACCGTTTTTGTCGATGTTGTACAAATAGCCACCTTTACTTATGCTGGTCTTGTCTTTCAAAATTAGAGTCAACCTTAACCTTGCCCGCTCACAGGTACATAATGAATACCGTCCAGAATCCACCATTAAATGTCGTAGAGCAAGCTCCGCTACAACTCCAAATGTGGTGGTATGATTTAGACAAAGAGGGTCNGAATGCCGTAGAGCAAGCTCCGCTACAACTCCAAATGTGGTGGTATGATTTAGACAAAGAGGGTCAAGACTGGGTAGTCGAACATCTGGGTGCTCTCACCGATATCATGAAAGTTAAGCCACGAAATGATCTAATCAAGGCTTTAGTGACCTTTTGGGATCCTGTCCGTAATGTCTTCCGCTTCTCAGACTTCGAGCTCACTCCCACCTTGGAGGAAATAGCGGGGTATACAGGTTTTGGTCGGGGTTTGAGAAATCAACAACTCATATTCCCGAGGCCCATGTCAATGCGCCGTTTCTTTGAAATCATGAACATCAGTAAGCAAATAAGAAAGAACCGTGTGAACGAGGGCTGCTGCTCATTCTACTTCCTATACTCCCGATATGGGCATCCAGAGGGATTTGAAACACATGAAAAAGGTTTGAACAACAAACAAAGCAAAGATACTTGGAAAGTTCACCGTCGTTTTACCTTTATAGTGGCATTTCTGGGTGTCATGGTCTTCTTAAATGAAAATGGGACAATTGATATTCATGTGGCTGGAATTGCACAAGTCTTAACTGACAAGGAAGATCACACGCTCGCTCCACTAATATTGGCGAATATCTATCGAGCACTGACTCTGTGTAAGGCGGGGGCAACATTCTTCGAAGGTTGCAACATTCTTTTACAAATGTGGTTAATTGAATATATTCGCCATCATTCGAAATTTATGAGCTACGGTCCAAGCAAGAGCAACTTCATTGAAAGCTATGAAGAAGGCGTGAATGATTACAACTCCCCGGAAGGGGTTGAAGCTTGGATCGCCCACTTGAGAGTTTTAAAGGCAAATCAGATTGAGTGGACTTTAGGATGGGTCCCGGTGAGGGAAGTTATATATATGTCAACCACAAAGAATTATTTACTATTGATGGGCTTGAGAAGTGTCCAACCATATGCACCCTAAAGGGTTCTAAGGCAATTGGGAAGACATCAAGTAGTACCTGAGGATGAAGACTTGAGTGTCCAAGTTATTGAGCTACATCCCGAAGCCCCACTTCCCGAAGCTTTAATTCAACAAATCTGGAATGGGTATCGATACTTGAAAAAGGATACTCAAGTACCCGATATTGCCAAAGGCGAAGTAAATCCGAGCAATGACGCATGGTTCAAGAAAAGGAATTGCATTGATGAGCAACCAGAGCGCGAGCCAGAAAGTCCCGCCAAAAGGCCTCATGTTCAAGCTTTTGATGACAAGATCCAAGAACGTTTAGCCTGGGGAGAAAAAGAGAAGAAATATCAAGCCACTGTCCATGCCTTAGAGGAAAAATTGAGAAACCTCACATTTGACAATGATTTGCAGGCACAGGTAGCTGAAGGTGAAAAGAGAAAGTTAACCCGAGAGAACGAGGCACTTCGAGCCCAACTCCGAAATATGAGGTTAGCCGCCGAAACGCCTGTAAGAAGCGAGAGAGATGAAAAGATCATCAACAACTTAAGAATGAAGGTCCATGACTATGCAACTGACTTGATAAAACCGAGAAGGATTTGCTAGATGCTCAAACAAAACTAGCTAAGGGAGCAGAAGAACATGCCCACCATTTGAGACAGAAATATTGCAAAGAAATAACAATTCTAAAGGAAAAGCTGTTTGCCGTTGGTAATGAGATGGTCCAGCGAACCAAAGATTTCAAAACAGAAAAAGAGCATTGTTACGCACTAATCTGCCAACTAGAAGAAAGCGTGCAACAACTACATGACCAAAACAACACAAGTGCACAAGTGTTGGAAGCCCGGGCATAGCAGATTGGGCGTCTGCTTCAAGAGAAAGGAGTCATCAGAACTAGGATCAAGGAAATAGCTGACTATGTTGTGATGAAATGTCACGAGTGTGAAGACATGACTAGGTCCATGTTTTTTGCTTTTATGATGACCTTCGTCCACCATGTAATGGATGACTTGGACTGTCTTCAAGAAGATATTGCATGAAGGCCCGTGCAAAGACCAGCTAGTGCCCCACATGCTCCAAGAAGACCAGTAGAAGCACTCATGTACTTTTGATTAACCAGTTTTCGAGTCTGTACTTTACTGCTTTCTAGCATTTTAAATTATTTTGTCGCTTGTTTTGAGTCTGTATTGTTGTTAGTACTTTAATTCCCTGTAATGAAAAACCTAAAAGAAAGAGATATCCTTTATTAATAAAATAAAAAATTGCACTTTGTTACTTTGTATCTATCCCCTAAACTACGTAATGATCTGATTCATGCGGCACCATAATACGTAGGCAATCCACGTAGGATTCGATCATAACCCTAAAAGAAAATTATCAAGAAAGAAAAAGAGAGAGAGAGAGAGAGACAATAAAGCTGGGATGAAACACACAGCCGTTGAAAAACATCTTAGCAAAATGTTTAACTATTTAGGTGCATTGCATCCCCAATATGCGATTCCCTATATGTTAAATGTCTCAAACTAACTGGTTTGTTGCATGTGCTTTAAAAGAACAAGTTCTATTTTTAGGTGGTTGGTTTTGTAGTGGTAATCTGGCTTCACACCCTTATTTCACGAGATCTAAAGGAAGTATCGCCATGGCCTCAGAGAGTCACCTACCTATCGTTGAGCCTGAAGAGAGCCTTTCATCAGTTATCCCACAACTTGAGTCAGCAACTGCTGAGGAGAATATGCGGTTAAGATGCCGCATGTTAGAAATGTGGGATGCATGGTCCAATGGCAGGGAGCCACCCAGTACTATCCCAGGTTTACCCGAGTTAATCCCAAGGACGGGAGGAACTACCAATGTCCCTATCTCAGTAGCCAACCCATTCATGCCATCTGGGTTCCCCACCATGTCAACAAACTTCACTGGAATGCCTTATGAGGTTCGCCCCCAGGCACCATCTTCAGTAATACCATCTACCGTGTTCACAGCACCACCAGCTTCTAGTATGTCACAACCAACGCTGCCTCGACAAACCTTCGAACCATCAACTTTTACTTTCCAAGCTACCTAATTCCAATTGGACACCGCTCGGGTTACCCCAAATTCCTATCCTCATCACCCACAATTTGAATCTCTCGTAGAACAGGAGAGAGTCTTGAGGAATCCTGAACAAGAGGAGATAGTACGAAAAATCAAAAGCATTGAGCAAAGCCTCAAAAATATACAAGGCCTGAGTGATCAAAAGAGCATGTCATATGCTGATCTGTGCATGTTCCCTCACGTGCATTTACCTGTGGGCTTTAATATGCCAAAGTTTGAAAGATATGACGGGCATGGAGACCCGATTGCTTACTTAAAACAATACTGTAACCAACTGAGGGGCGCTGGTGGAAAAGCGGAGTTGTTAATGGCCTACTTCGGAGAGAGCCTCATCGAAATCGCTTCTGAATGGTATATAGACCAAGATATCTCCCATTGGCACATATGGGATGACCTGGCCCGGGATTTTGTGAGGCAATTCCAATACAACGTGGACATAGCTCCGAACATAAATTCTTTATCCAACCTCAAAAAGAAAGCCTCGGAAAGCTTCCGAGAATACGCTATCAAATGGCGTGAACAAGCGGCCAGGATAAAACCCCCGATGGATGAAACCGAGATGGTCAGTGTCTTCTTACAAGCCCAAGAGGCCGATTATTTCCAAAACATGATGTCTGCCATGGGCAAACCATTCGCGGAGGCCATTAAAATTGGACAAATAGTAGAAAATGGCTTAAAAATTGGCCGTATCTTAAGTCAATCAGCTCTAAGAGCCACTTCCCAAGCCATTCAGAGCGGCTCGGGAAGTTTAGCAAGCCGGAAGAAAACAAAAGAGGGAGCCATGATGGTTTCGAGCTTAAGAAACTCTCGGAGACCCCGTGATTATTCTGGTCCACCTTCCAGGGCCCCGCAACATTATTACCCCCACCAGGATGCAGCCTATGCTATGGCCCCTCATCCTTATGCAGTAATGAACTCTCAACCGTTCACCCGACCACAACAACATTACAATCAGAACAGAGCTCCACCTCCAAGAAACAACCCTCCTCACCAAGCTCCGTATAATCCCCGTCCACCATAGAATAATTACCAATATAACACCCGTCCCCGTGAACCACCCAGAAAAGCTGACTTCACACCCATTGGTGAGTCGTACTCCAGCCTCTTCCCGAAATTAGTCCAAATGGGCCTGTTGCAACCTGTACCGCCGAACAGACAGAACCCAGAATCTCCATCCTACAGGCCAGGTACCATGTGCTCTTATCACTCCAGGGTAGAAGGGCATGACACTGAAGATTGTTGGACCCTTAAGAGAGCAGTCGAGAACCTGATCGAACAGAAGAGGGTAGTGTTAAGGGATAAGGAAGTCCCCAATGTAACCAACAATCCGTTACCAGCTCACAACAATGGGCCGGTTATCGGGATGATCTATGAAGACAAAGAATTTGTCCCGGCATTAAAAGCAATAATTGCCATCGCTGACTCTGAAAAGAAACCTAAAGCAGTGACAAAACAGGTCAGGGATGAGAAAAAGATGAATTTCACTCCCCAAAATGAAGGAAAGGACGGGGAATCAAAGACAAGGGGCAACACCTTCCAAAGAGGCCATTCTCTAAGTCCCAAGAGCCCTCAGAAAGGGACAACCCATGTTAAGCCCTCCCAAGAGATTGGAGTAGAGGAAAACCATGCCAAATCTGCCAAAAATATATGTACCAAAAGGGCCTTACGTGGCACGGGGCCCATCATTCCACCTAGGCTCGATGAGCCTTTGATCATTAGCTGCATACCACAAAATCCCATAAAAGACACTACTGCCATCCCTTGGAACTACAACCACACAATTGTCACATATAAAGGGATGCAAGTTAAGGGGGAAGTGAATGAAACAAACCAATCTGGGAAATATCATAACCCAGAAGAATTGAACAAAACCAAGCAGAAGCGTTTCCCCCTCAAGAAGCCTGTAACTGCTGAAGAAGCTGAGGAATTCTTCCGAAAGATGAAAACCTTGGAGTTTGCTGTAATTGATGAACTGAGAAAAGCCCCTTCCCAGGTTTCACTCTTGTCTTTACTGATGAGCTCAAATGAACACCAAAAGTGCTTCTAAAGATGCTGAATGAGGTGTATGTTCCAATTGAGACCACGGTTGAACAGTTAGAAAGAATGGCAGAACGATTTTTTGAGGTCAATCGAATCTCCTTCAGCCTAAACGGCTTGCCTCCCGAAGGAGCCGCCCACAACAAGGCCCTTCACTTGACTGTCAAGTGTGAGGGATACTATGTGAAAATAATCATGTTGGACGGCAGGTTCGGAGTCGATATTTGCCCTCTTTCAACATTGCTGAGGATGGAAATTGGGACTGAAAGGATCAAACCAAACACTGTTTGTGTGCGTGATTTTGGTGGTGTCAAGAGGGACACAATAGGGGAGATTAACTTAATCTTAACCATTGGCCCCGTAGATTTTGAAGTAACATTCCAAGTTCTGGACATGGCCACTTCCTATAACTTTCTGTTAGGAAGACCATGGATCCATGCAGCAGGAGCTGTGCCCTCTACTCTCCATCAAATGGTCAAGTTCGAGCATGAGAACCAAGAAATAATGGTCCATGGAGAAGATAAACAGTCAATCTACAAGGATCCGTCAGTCCCATACCTCGAGGTAAGAGACGGAAGCGAGCATATAATCTACCAAGCCTTCGAAATTGTGCTCGCCGACCAGTGAAAGGAAGGAACCCAATGCCCTCAACCTTGTTTATCAAGCGCATCAATCATGGTCGCAAGCAAAATGATCAAGCATGGGTACAAACCTAGAAAAGGGCTCGGGGTATCCTTACAGGGTATCACAAAACCCGTCACCTTGGCTGCCAATAGGAAATTCTTTGGCATAGGTTTCCAAGCCACTGATACCGATAAAAAATGGGTCGATAAACGTAAGAAAGATGAGTAGGTTTTGCCTCAGTCAATCTCGCACCTCGCCAAATCGTTTGTTAAGCCAAGATATATAGAAAAAGAAGAAGAGGCTTTCACGGCCGATGAAGTTGAGGATATTTGTGAAGCAATGAGGCAAATGCTCTATGACGTCCACATGGTCCAACCAGGCGAAGGCTCGAGCACTGCTGAGGTGCAATATGTGGGGCCCAATGCTAAATTGCAAAACTAGCAGGCTACTCCATTCCCAGTCAGGCGGGAATCCCGGTAGTTCAGTCTTGCCATTTTTCTACATTCCGAGTTATTTCAGGGTGTAACTCGAATGTTTTTAGTTTTATCATCTTTTTAAATTCCAATGTAAACCCTCATATCTTCAAAATTCAATGAAATAAAATCAATATTTCATCGTCTATGAATCTTTTCCTGTTAATTTGGGCAGTTCAGAAGAGATCAAAGAGACCATAATAAACATTCACGCCGAGGAAAAAACTAGAGATGCACTGATCCGACTCTTGTTTGAATTTAAAGAAGTGTTTGCCTGGTCTTACTATGATATGCCAGGACTAAGTGTCGATATAGTGGTACAGAAGTTGCCAACTTATCCCGGTTGTCCACCTATCCAACAAAAGTAAAGAAAATTCAAAACAGACATCAGCGATAAGATTAAAGAAGAGGTTGCCAAACAATTAAAAGCTGGTGTAATCCGAGTAGTCCGATACCGCACATGGTTGGCCAATGTAGTCCCAGTGCCAAAGAAGGACGGGAAAATCCGAGTATGTGTGGACTATAGAGATTTGAACAAAGCAAGTCCTAAGGACAACTTCCCATTACCCAACATCCACATCCTTATCGACAATTGTGACAAACATGAGATACAGTCTTTTGTGGATTGTTATGCTGGGTATCACCAAGTCCTGATGGATGAAGAAGATGCAGAAAAGACAGCTTTCACCACATCATGGGGCACTTACTGCTATAGGGTCATGCCATTCAGTTTGAAAAACATCGGGGCAACTTATATGAGGGCTATGACTGCTATTTTCCACGACATGATGCACCAGGAAATTGAGGTGCATGTGGATGATGCGATCATTAAGTCCAGAATGCAGGAAGACCATATGAAGGATTTGAGAAAGTTCTTTGAGTGCCTGCGCAAGTATGATTTGAAATTGAATCCAGCTAAATGTGCATTTAGGGTTCCATCTGGGAAACTTTTGGGGTTTATAGTCAGTCGGAGGGGTATTGAGTTGGATCCAACAAAGATAAAATCTATCCGAGATCTACCACCTCCGAAAACCAAGAAAGAGGTCATGAGTTTGCTGGGAAGGTTGAATTACATCAGTTGGTTCATCGCCCAACTTACTACCACTTGTGAGCCCATATTTAAGCTACTAAAGAAAGATGCGGCGATTAAATGGACGGTTGAGTTTCAAGAAGCTTTTGACAAAATCAAAGAATATCTTTCAAATCCGCCGGTGTTGGTCCCGCCTGAGCTCGGAAGACCTTTGTTCTTATACTTAACGGTTCTGGAGAATTCTTTTGGCTGTGTCCTCGGACAACATGATGCAATCGGGAAGAAAGAGCAAGCCATATACTATTTGAGCAAGAAATTTACCAGTTATGAAGCCAAGTACACTTTGCTGGAAAGAACTTGTTGTGCCTTGACTTGGGTCGCTCAAAAGCTTAGACATTATTTGTTAGACTATACCACATACCTCATAACCAGAATGGATCTTGTAAAGTACATATTCCAAAAATCGATGCCAATGGGAAGGCTAGCCAAATGGCAAATCCTGCTCACTGAGTTTGACATTGTCTATGTCACCCGCACGGCCATGAAAGCCCAAGCCTTCGCTGATCATTTAGCTGAGAACCCAGTTGATGATGAATACCAACCCCTAAGCACTTATTTCCCAGACAAGGAAGTAAATTCAGCTGAAGTAATTCTAGAAGATACTAAGACTTGGAAAATGTTCTTTGATGGATCTGTAAATGCAAAAGGTGTCGAAATTAGGGCAATTGTGATTTTGCCCACTGGTCAGCACTATCCGGCTACAGCCCGACTTCATTTCTTCTGTACGAGTAACACCGCTGAATATAAAGCTTGCATCATGGGCATGAACATAGCAATTGATATGGATGTAGAAGAATTATTAATCATGGGAGATTCTGATTTGATCATTCGGCAAGCACAAGGTGAATGGGAAACTCGAGATATCAAGCTTATCCTATATAGACAACATGTGGAAGAGCTTAGCAAATGGTTTAAATTCGTTGAATTCAGGTATATTCCTCGATTCCACAATGAGTTAGCCGATGCACTAGCTACCTTAGCTACAATGCTGCCGTATCCAGGCAACGTCCATATTGACCTGTTGGAGATTCAAATCTGTGAAAGACATGGTTATTGCAACACGGTTGAAGTAGAACCAGATGTCCAACCATGGTATCATGATATTAAAAGGTTCTTGAAAACAAAGGAATACCCTGAGCAGGCCAATCGAGACCAAAAGAGAACCCTTAGAAGGCTTGCCGGCAGTTTCTTCTTAAGCGGAGATGTGCTGTATAAGAAAACTTCAGATCTAAATCTTTTAAGGTGTGTGGATGCCAAAGAAGCTGAAAAGGTCATGAACGAAGTGCATTCAGGAGTATGTGGGCCCCATATAAATGGATATGTCCTTGCAAAGAAAGTCCTGCAGGCATGTTATTACTGGATGACCATTGAAAATGATTGCTTCAGTTTTGTCCGGAAGTGCCATCAATGTCAGATGCACGGTGACCTGATTCATGCACCGCCTTCAGAGTTGCATCCTATGTCAGCACCTTGGCTGTTTGTTGCTTGGGGTATGGATGTCATTGGGCCGATCGAGCCGAAAGCCTCAAATAAGCACAGATTAATCTTGGTTTCCATTGATTACTTCACAAAATGGGCCGAAGCAGTCACTTTTAAAGCCGTCACCAAGAAAACAGTGGTGGACTTTGCACATTCCAACATTATTTGTCATTTTGGTATTCTAAAAACTATCATTACCAACAATGCCGCAAATCTGAACAGTCATCTAATGAGGGAGGTATGCGAACAGTTTAAAATTACGCATCGTAATTCTACCCCTTATCGACCCAAAGTCAATTGTGCCGTTGAAGCGGCAAA